CGGGGTTCGACTCTCACACTCGCACCATGCGAGAGAGAGAGAGAGAGAGAGAGAGAGAGACACAGAGAGAGAGAGAGAGAGACAAAGAGACAGAGAGACAGACAGACAGACAGTCAGAGACAGACAGAGAGAGAGAGAGAGAGAAAGACAGACAGAGACAGAGATAGAGAGGGAGAGAGAGAGATAGAGAGGGAGAGAGAGAGAGCGAGAGAGCGAGAGGGGAGAAGGGAGGGGGGGAGGGAGGGTGTGGGGGAGGAAGGGAGAGGGAACGAGCGGGAGAGGGAGAGGGAGGGAGGCAGAGCGGGGAGAGGGAGAGAGCGGGAGAGAGGGAGAGATAGGGCAGCGAGCGAGACCGGGAGAGGGAGAGGGAGGGAGAGAGAGGGAGAGATAGGGAGAGACAGGCAGAGAGAACGGGGGAGAGAGAGAGGGAGAGAGGACACAGAGAGAGAGAGAGGGGAGGAACAGTCATCGGCGTGCGGCCTGCTTCATTGCACAGATGCAGATCCGGATCCACACTGAGCCGAACCACGGCTGCAGGGCTGCCCAAGTATTTACATAGCACATTCAGCGATCCTTATCACTTGCAACCTTCTTCCCACATGCCAACGTGCCGAAAACCTCCATGAACGTCTGACTGGTACAGTACGCACACCGTCCAGTTGCCGTGGACCGCAGCGAAACATACATTCACACGCATCACGAACAGGCTTTGGCAATGCAATCAAAGCCACAAAGTGCGATCATCGTGGCAGGCACCTGACGAATCCTTTCGTCTTTCCACTGATTCGCTCCCTCACCCTGAGCGAGCATAGCAGCACTTGGACTGCGGGCAGTTCTGATCCACTTGCGCAACAGATCTGGCCTCGTAGTTGCGATTCTGCACTTTGTCCCTCGCCATGGCACAGCATGCCCTCGGCCCTCGTATTCCATCGAAAACAAGATCTAAAACAAGCCGAGGGCCAGGCTCGTAGGCAAGAGTAGGCCGGCCCTCCAGCGCGAGTCAAAAAGGCCGCGACTCTTCGCGTCGCTTCCCTGCCTTTATGCCTTTTCCCCTGCTCTTGCCATAGCCAGGAAATCCCTGGTAAGCATTGAAACTGGACCTTAGGGCACGCCATCCACAACTATGTGAACGTTTGCAAGCATTCAGTGGAAGATGTGATCCCGGCGAATACATACGTGGATCGGCGGCAAGCTGAGGGACAGCGGTTCACCCTCTCCGTTTCAGTTGCGCTACTTCCATGGGGTATACTCACCTGCCCAACGTAAGCCAGCACCTGCGATTCGACTTTGAAAGTGTTGCTCCTGAGCTCTTGAGCCATCTAGAAAAGCTTCCCGGGTCAAAGTTCGAAAAAGCCATGGCCAACACAATTTTCGCTCGGTCTAGGCAAATTTGCTGTCTACTGGATCCACAAGCGGCCAACAATGATCATGCTCGGCCAATCACAGATCGGTGTAGTCTACTCTTTCGGGCATGCAGATCGCAAGAGATCATGGAGACTCCCTCCGCGAAGTACGCTGGCGGCCGATGCTCATGTGCTCCGCCCGTCGCCAACAGTCTGTGCAGTAGCGGACGACTCCAGTTTCAGTGGTCTTGGATTTCGAAGTGCATGCCCGTTTCTGTCTCAGTCTTCCATCCTAGCGTGCCCGGCCCGGCTCCAATGTACAGTATCATCCATGCATAGCCGTCCCTGCGGAGCTTTTCTTGGACGCAAGCAGCATTAACTTCGCCCGCCCAGGCGTGCGATCTCCAAAGGCTCAGCATCGGCAGCAGCCTCCCAGCTGGAGATGGTAGCTGACCACTTTGGCAAGACTCCAACCCTGGCCCTAACCGAAACCGACAGGCCCAAAAGCTGAAACTCCAAACGGTCGCAAGCCTCCACGGCAAACCTACCGAAAATCGGTTTGACGTCCCGAAAGCCCTTCGGGCTGGGTTTCTCCTTTTTTCTTAAGGATCTTGAGTCAGCTTGAGCCTGAAATTGGGGGCTCGTGCGAAGAAGGGACTCCCGATGTCTGCTTTCTGTTCTAGGAGGGCACCGGCTTGCTGACTGTCGTTGCTGGACGTCTCTCGCAAGCAGAATGCAGGAATGCCGGCGGGGTGCCACAGCAGTATAGAAACACTGTATCTGCAGGCACACCGGCTGTTGCACCTTGTCGGCAGCTGACGGCCCCGGAGAGGACTGCAATGCAGGGATATTTTACTGCACGCACGGTCCGAGAATGAACAGTTGCCCCGGCCTTCTGGTTGTACATCCATACTCCAATCAGGCAAGTACAAACTCCGATGGCTTGCTCCAAAGTCAGGCTATTCCTTGCTGCGCGACTGCCGGGTGAGGCAATGCCACATCAAGTACATGTGCAACGTTCGTCCTGAAAATCGCCACTGAGACGGCAATGGAGAGGCAGCTCTTGACATTGCCAAGAACTTGAAGAGTGACCTGGGCTTGTCTTATCTGACGCTGACAGCCTTGCAAGCCCAGCGGGCGCCGCGCAGGGCTGGTGTAGGAGGTTACCAGAAAGTTGGCGATGTTTAGGAGGCACGCGTTCAAGCCTGAGACTTGAGGAAAAAGGGATCCACTCGGAAGGGCTGCCGTCGGCCGCATCCCACCTGAAAGCATCAGGAGAGAAAGAACTTGGCCAGCGCCAGCTACGCCGCCGTCTCCATCTGGCCCCAACCTGGCCATTTCCGAAGACATGACAAAAGCCGAGGGCACCATCTACTTCCAAGCAGCTTGGCACTAAACTTGCCACGAGGTCCCTTGTAGGTCGAACACCGTCAGTAGCAAGAACAAGGGCTCGCCGCCCTTGCCCGGAGCCGCTGAGAAAGACGGTATCTGCACATCATGCTCATCCGTGCCGGCCTCCATGAATAACATAATCAAAGTTAGCCACATGGCTGCCCACGGAGCCATGTAGTACCTAGAAGTCAAGGCGGATTGGCTCTGAATCAGAGGAATCCGGCACTCAAGTCACAAAGACATAACTACCAAGTCTCAGGGCGCGATGTGACGCTTGCGCGAATACACTGGACCCCTCATTCCACAGATCACCTTTTCATTACAGCGTATCCGCTGCCACATGAGCGAAGGTCTGCGCTAGAACGGCACGCCCACAAAAACTCGTTGGTTGCTCGGCTTTCCCTGGCCTAAGACCCAATCTCTCGCCAGCATGGGCTTGGGTTGAACTGTCTCGCTCCGAGTTTTCAACCGTTCTGAACATCGTGATAGCGGTCGTCTTCTCAAAAAGCTGCAGGTTTAGGAGTTGCGGGTGTTCAGCCGCCATCTCGCGAGGTGCGTTTCAAGCAGCAGCAAGCTTGGAATGCTGAGTGAACGAAAGCATGGGACAAATGGGGCTCTACGTGAACTAGCCGGATCGAAGCAAAAGACGACTGCACAGCGACATGAACGAAGCACATGTCAAGAAGCTCCGCCTTGGATCGCACATTGATCCAAAATGTTGTTTCGAAAGATTCGGTTCGTCCTTTGGATTCAGCACCGTATCGCGATGTTCTGCAAAGGACCGGCTGGAACGACTGCCGGTGCCGGGGCAAATTCCCGCGTGGCGCACCCCGATCTACCACCACACGCCGGCTGAGAAGCGGGTTGAAGGTCGTTGTTCGGGTTCGCCGACGGCCAGGATGGCGGCACTCCTCCAAGGTCAGCTCCGCCTGCCCGCCCTGCTTCGGTGCCGCCATGTCACCCCACTGCGATGACACGCAGGCCCTGAAGGGCCGCCGCCGCGGCCGCAGAGTTCAAGACTAAGGCTTTAAGAGAAAATTCCGAAGTCTCGGTGATCGAGAGTATGCTCCCTCAACAAAATCGTCGGGCCGGAGTGGCGGTTCGACTCGAGCTTTGTTACTGCGCGCAAGCGTGCCACGTAACTGCATCCAAAAGCGTGACATGACTGCTCCGTACAGTGTGGCTCCACCAACTTCAACTGAGCTCGAAACAGCAGAGTTACCTTAGCTGATGTCACAAAGGCCGTCACAAAGCAACTCGTGCGAACGCGTTGCAAATCAGGAGTCTGGCCACTGCCAACGCACCAACAGCAACCGAAATCGACAGCAACCTGATGGCAAGATGCAGAATCCATCTGGTGGGAGGTGGACAGGAGCCTCGCAGATCAAAGCACCAGCACCCCTGCGGACAGTGACTTTGGTGTGGTTGCCCCCGCCTTCCTTGAATGAGGGATTTCACCGCTCGAAGCACGGTAGCTCCACTGGCGTAAAAGGCACCGAGCGCGTTGAAGTTGAGCTCCTTGGTGCTGGCAACCCAGTCTCGACGAGAGCATGCGGGATTAAATCAGAGAGCTTCGGAGAGTCATGTCACGCATCATTTTAGCCCAGCTTCCTTCGCACTGCAAACTGCAAGCCCAACACAAATGACCGGCATGGACAGCCACGTCTTCAGCGGAAAACGCTTCTGCTGCATCACCACTGCCAACAGTACTGTGATCAGTGGTGACATGGATCCTCGGCCGGAAGTTCGAGCTGGTTCTGGGCGTGTCAGCTGTGACCAGGACAGCAGCAGCTACGAGTAAGCGCGGGTCCCAACATCTGATTGAAGGAAGGATAGATATACTTCAGAGATAGGTTGCCCATCGCCACCGAAAGTGCAAAGCAGAGCGAAAGAGGCATGATCTCCCGCGCTTGTTGCGCCAGTCCCAAGGCTTTCCCTTGCAAGGACGGAGCATCCGGAGATTCTTGAACATCTTGAACCCACCGCACCTGCCTTCCAGACCTCTGCGAAGCTGAAATATGTACACTCTGCACAGCATCCAGGAAAAGATCATGTGGATCACCTGAGAGAGTCAGAGTCAGGCCAACATCCGATCCACTCGACAGCTCCGGTGCGAGGCAGAGGCTGTGATAGCCACCGGATATTGATACGTGGTACATCCCTTGTCCTGCAACGGATCAGCGTCACGATTTCACGGGTTCTTATCCCCGAAACATCCCTTGTGTCTCTTGTGCTTCGGGCAGGGTTTCCTTGGCCTGTAGTGCGGTCGCGAGCTGCTGCTTGGGCGGCGATGTGGATACCTAGAGGTCATGTTGCTCCTTGTGCAGATCTGAAGAACGAAATCAATGAAGCTATTTTTCGATTCGTCGCATCGCAGAAAGAGTTGTGCAGTTTGAGCGCGTCATTTGTTTTCAAATTGTAGATGTGCCGCCCGGTGTGTATCGGGCGGTGAACATGGGAGGTGGAGTTGAGGGCAAGTCCCCGGCTCCGCACAAACATACTTGTTTCGAGCTGCAGTGTTTGTCTTGTCATCGTTCCCAGGCTCCTCGATGAGGCTTGAGTCCAGGCTTTATCGCACCGTACAAGCTGAGAGGGCGGTGCGAGTGGAACATGATAAATACTCATGTGCAGATGCTCATAAAAATGCTCATGCAAGTGATTTGCATGACATGGAACCGAGCATATTCTGCCGTGAACGAAGATCCACTTTGTTGAACTTGCGATTGTGATGTTCAGGACGAACCAGGAAGTCACCACGGCCGCTGTTTCCAGCTGGCGCCGCCACGTGCCCTGCGAAAACGCACAGCTGTTCAGCGAATGCCCGCTGCATTTCTTGGCCTGCTTCGTCTCATCGTAGTCGTCGGAAGGTGCAGCACCAGAAGGCATGCACTCCGATTGCCATCCTCCATGAGAAGATGAAGTTATGTTAAAGTACAAGCTCATGCATCGTGGACTTGTCGACGGTTCATGCCCATGCCCATGCCTGAACCCGTGCCGGGGCTCTGGCGTAATCGTAATGACATGTCTGAGCCAAAAGACCACAAGGTTCCAGCTCTAAGCTACCTGCGAATCCGGGTAAACAAAAAACACCTTGCACAACCGCAACAGTGTGTTGTTGGAACCTCCTTTGCATTTCCGGAGTTACTGAATCACTGAACAATGCACTTAAGCATTTTCCGCGACGCAGACTGCCGCATGCAACGGCATGCGGGCCGAGCTACTACTCACAGCTTTCGAGCAGCATGGTTGCATCGCCGAGAAAATCACCTCCAGGAGATTGGCGATTTGCCCTCTGATGCCTAAAGTTGCAGATCACAGAGATTCTCAGAGCGTCATGGGCCACAGGTAAAGGACCTGCACGCCGTCTTGTCTTTCGCTTCCAGCCTGCACGTGTGGCAAATACGGCCGAAAATGACAGGCACACATGCCTGCCTGGGGGGGCGAGAACGAGTGCGGCCGGTGGTATCACCTGGAGATCACAACATGCGAAGCGGCGGGCTTCTGAGTTTTAGAACCAACCTTCTGCACCTTCTTCACACCGTCCTGGAGCATCATGGGATATCATGTAGCAAGTGGCAACACCAGTAGCTGAAGCAACATCCGAAAGCAAGGTCAGCAGCTCGCCTTGTCCTCTGGAACTAGGGGCATCTCCTTGACAGAAACACACAAACACTCGGCTACTTGGGGCGGAGGATATCTGCTGAACTCATCCCGCCTCTTCCTTCATCAGGTCCTTCACCTCGGCGACATGACATGTTCAGTAGCAGCTGGCCTAGGATGCCTGCAACATGTCTTGAACTCTCGGACCCACAAGCCCAAAACACAAGTTCCCTGTGGAAGCTCGAGTCTGTTTTTAGGTAAAAACACAAGCCTCGTTTCAATCGCCAAGCGGCACTAAGCGCACCTTTGGCTGCTGGCGAAGACGTCTTTGCCTGGCGAACCAGTGGGCGACAACATTTCGCAACGCGTCCCTCTTGGGTGCACACCAAAGCTGCCTGATGATCATGCTCACGTTCGAGCTCTGCTTCTCTTTCGAGCCTTGTCCGAGCTTTCGGTATGAAGAGGAACACTTCAATTGAGAGTCCACGAAGTGCCAGAAACTAAGAAATCGCCGGACGAGAAGGGAATGCAAGAACACAAGAGCAACTGGAGATGCGGATGTTGCAAGACAGCACATTAATCGAGGCGATACTCTGGCTAAGACAAGTCCGATGACCTCTGACAGCTTGCTATTCGATGTGCCGGCATTCTTGTGAGCTGGGAGGCCTGGAGCTTCGGGACGTTGCAGCTGTGCACAGAACAGCAAGCTTGTGTTGTTTGCTCGCGCTTGTGCCAATCACTGACGAGTGATGGCATCATCAAACGGGCACTGCTTTCATCAGCGTGGTCAGGTGCAGATACAAACTTGTGTCCATGTGTGTGTGTGTGTGTGAACTCACTGCGAAAGAGCTATCCTGGACATCACAGATGCGCAGACTCTGTCGAGCAATGCTGCACGGAGTCACCAGTGAGGCGATGCAGGCATGCATGAAATCAAATTTTATCGGCTTTTCTAGACTCAACTTTACTGGGCTCACAAGCCTACAGATGGGAAAGAAGCAGAGCGTAAGAGCGTCGCACTGAGGCCCTGGCTTGCATTCGCCGTCCCGCTTTCTCAAGTCACCCACCTGGCTGGAGAAAAGATACGAACATTGACATCGAGCCATTTCCGACAGAAGCTCGAGCCAAGCCACCGCTTGGGCGTAACCGTCGTCATGGCTGTAGCAGTTGAGCCTGTCACAGGTGTCCTGAGCACGAAGGGCAACACGGCAGGGAGCAACCTGGACATCAATGGACCTTCCGATGAAACTCGCAGCGCAGGAGCTCTCCTCCCACGCCACGGCCCGACTACTCCTAGGATCCTCTGGGAGTCTGCAGAACACATGATGACGTGACCTGATGATGGAGATCTTCGAGGAAAGGTGCCAAGCTCTCCAGGCGCCAGAGTGGCCTCCAAAAAGGACATGCCGGCATTCCTGCCACTTTGCCTGGCCGCCTGGCCTGCAGCGTCTGCATTTCCTTGCACATTTTCCTGGCTGATTGCGCCTGTCCGGAAGCTTTGCAGCAGTGTCAACCCGAAAGTGCTTCCAAAACCCGAACTATTTTCCATTCCAAAAGACTTTGCTGTCGATGGAGGGCGATGCTAAAACCGTCTGTGGTCTGTGCTTGTGACAGCGCATGGAAGTTCATTTGCACCCCCGCTGAGCAGGATCTGCATATTTCGTGATGATGGAGCCGGGTTTGCCATGTGCAGTGGGTCCAGGTTGTGGGCGTTCCCTGAGGTACTGCTCGATGAAAGGGAGCCTTGCCATTCTGTCAAACCAACTGCGCAGCTTACATCCCAGCTTCGCTGCACATGCAGGGTCCACAAGTCTCAGGGCATCAATGACATTGAAAAGCATGAACTCTCCGTAGTGTGGCACATCTCCGGCAAAGAACTGTGCATCACCTAAACATGCCTCCCAATGCTGGAGGGAGACAAGGACGTCACTGTATGGCGGGAGGTTCGACAGATTGCCGTGATACGTGTCTGGCTTCTCACCTCGAAGAATGGCATCGGTGACCTCTTCTGGATAGGATGCTAACATGCAACCAGGGAACATAAGAGGGTAGGTGTTTGACGCCACGGCCATTTCGTGGGCTTGATCGAGCTCTTTGCCCTGCAAGGCAGGAAACTTTCCCGGCGATGCTTCCTGACAAATCAGGCGGGCGATGTCCGCTGTCTCCGGAACCATCTCCCCAGTTGCGAGCTCCAGAACTGGCAAGCCTCTATTGCCGACGGGTCGAGTTGACACACCAGGCACGCCCTTGCCCTCAGGCATTAACTTCTTTGCCTCATTCCATTCCTCTGGGCTGTACAGCTTATCAACATACGGAATCCCTGCAGCTCGCAGTAGCATCCGCAAAGCTTCTGCCCGACCACGCACCGGAAAGTAGTGAATGGTCACTCCGGCATCGAGTCTTCCAAAGTGCTGTCCAAACTTACTCCTGCCACGTCCGCGGAAAGATTTGCCATCACCGCCCCACCGCGAGCCATGTGCGACGAACTCGTAGTTTGCAATGATATCCTTGTCTGGCAGGTTGCCGTTCTGAAACTCCGGCAGCCCCGCAACAGTCTTCAACAATTTCTCTATGCGTGGATCCGACAGCAACTGAAAGTCACGGAAATGTGACAAACCTACGCTCAAGCGGTGAAGGAAGGGTGCACAATGCACGTCAGCTAGGGATACTCTGCTTCCAACACAGAAGTCGCTCTCCTTGCTCAGGACAGCAGAGAACTTTTGTAAACTGGAGTTGATCTTGTCAGCCCAGTCTTGGTCCTTACTTCCATCCTGGTTGCGCAGCAGGCCAAACAAGCCAGGAATGACATCATTGAACTTCTTCATAACCAATCGGACCCGACTGGCTTGTACCGGGTCCGGCGGAACAAGCTTCGGGCTGGGGCTGTCGGAGACCAAATCAAAATACTCTGCCAAGATTTCGGACTCTGTGATAATGGCTCCCTCAGCTGTACAGAGACTCGGCACCTCCCCGCTGGGATTGATTTTATCAAGATATTCCTGTCGAATTGCCTTGATTTCTGCGACGGTCTTGCTCTTGAAAGGCTGGGACCCTCCCTGAATCGCCTCGACTCCAAGCCGCTCAGCGAACTCTACTTGCCGACCATAGGGCACATACTGCGTTTCCACTTCCACCGGTCTCAGAGCGCGAGCAAACATGGCTCGATGGCAAAAAGGGCAGGAGTTGTTGGTGAAGTGCTTCGCCATGCCCCCGCCGGACACTCGGCTCTGCCGACTCACGACTTGTCTCAACTTGAAAACGGTGCTGCGGAAACTTCTCTGCATGAACTCACATGACCTGCTGGCTGTCTGCATAGACACAACACTTGCGTCCATGTAGGCATTCCTCGCCTTGACGTATCTCGCTTCAAACAGTTGCGAGCACTCCTCTGTCGGAGCTCCTGGTCCCCAGTGAGTCTTCAGCTTCTTTGCAATGGTATCCATCAAAGACCTTGCACAAGTCAAATGCCCTCTCCCACAATGTCAAGATCCAAGGGTCAGTCCCAAATTATTACATGCCAAGCTGCTGAATTCTTGGAGCAGCTGTCTTGTATGCCTTGACCCATGCCTGAGGAAGTCAGCCCACGGACCAAGAACGATGTGTTTGCATTCTGCGGCTCCTCGTTGGAAAGAGGCTCCGTGTTTATCTGGAACGGAAAGACTTGTCCGCCTCAGTGCGAGCGGTTCGGGAAGCAAATCTGCAGTCGACAGCCTGGGAAACGACTGTAAGCCTGAGCCGTGCAAGCTCGTCCAAAGCCCGAGGCCGTTCGCATCCTCTGCTTCCATGCCATCAGGCTCCGGATCCCACCTCTACTCAATTTCACTGTGAATCAGTCAAAGCAGCACACCAAAGTGCCGAGTTACAGCGGATATTGAGGAATGGTCCACAGATCCTTTCCAGGGTCGGGGGCCGAAAGGAGCGACAGCGTCCGGCCAGCGCCTGCTCCTCTGCTCTTTTGCCCTGTAGCAGGACGAAGTTCTTCTTCCGATACTCCTCCTGTCGCGCACACCGCACATCGCCAGACGAAATCGCCAGCAGAGCACAGCCCCAGCCGCCCTCAAACTCCTGCCAGGGCGACCCCTGCCTGTGGCATCTCGGCAGCATCAGCAGCCGCTCCGGGTGGCTGGAAAGGGAAGGCAAAAAAAGAGATTGCTTCGCGACAGTTCGCACACAGCTGCGGATTTGCTACGGCCTGAAAATCCTTGTCGAAGCAAGCGAGAGTCCTCGGGGCTTGCGCAGAGTCTAAGATCGCAGGCCCGAAATTGCGAGTCGCCGAGGCACGGCCGCCCCTCCAAGTCTTTCGTGCCGTAAGCGCAGTTCGCACATTCCGAGCATTGCTCCTGCGCTGCAGCGGGTTTCACACCAAGGCTCCTGTGGAAACGACCGCCCGGTCCCAGTTGCTGCTCAGCGCTAAGCAGTCATCGCCTCAAACACTTGGGGCCATCCCATACTGCAAAGCAGTACATTCTGCTGAGGCATAGACAGTGCGGAAGTGGCTGGACCTGAAAGTTACCCATGACCACCTCCACTCCTCCTGCGTGCCATGCATCTTGAGAGGTTTTCCAATTGCTCGAACAATTTTACGAATTCTTGCCCGTGTTGAGCGGGGCGGTCCGGCATCACTCGAGTCGCCCTCGGTGAACTCCGGAAGAATGTCTCGGCTGCGGTACCTTGCAGTTGCATCACCACCAGTTTCTACTGAAAGCAGTAAAGATCCAGAGCCTCTGAACCAATGCTTTGCTGCCGAAGAGCCCATAGCCGATTGACCCATCACTTGTGACCGGCTTCACGCACATGCACCTCGGAAAGACATTTGGTATGGCTGGGTCCGGCCCGGCCAAGCAGGTGAGGCGCTTGTCGCCAGAAGTACCGCAAGGAGTCTTTGGCCCAGCCTGGGAAGCCAAGCGAACAGGAAAGGAGAAACTCCAGGTTTAGAACAAGGCCCTGACGAGCATTGCATTCTGGGACCAGCACATTCCTGCAAAGGTGACAGCACCAGCTTCAAGCGGCGAGAGAACATCCTTGTTCTCTCCGTGAAGGAATCTGCTGCTTGCCCATCCCAAAGCTGGTCCTGCTTCGGCTTCTTCACCTCATGTAGAAGTGTAGAGACGAAGAGCCCCGCAGCCATCACAAGCTCGATTTTCATACGAGTGGCCTGGCTTTGGTGGGTGGCACTTCCCAGTGGAAGTCATATTGCCTGTCGTAGGCAAGCATTCTGAGCACAAAGCCCAGTGCAGCCGGCTACAGACCAGTTCCCGGCCTCTGGCTGGACAACCCCACTCCCACACGTCCCTTTGCTCAAATCTGGCAGGTAGCTTCGGCGTAGTGACGCGCTTGTACTCACCTTCGTCAACAGGCGTTCTTCTTAGCAGGCAAGAAAAATGCCAAACTTGGGCAACGGCCATTGTGTTCCATGCCGAACTCGCTGATTTTCGACCTTGTTCGACGATTGTGCTGTGGGATGCACACCGCAATCGCCCTGATCCGAGTTCTCTGGCATACATCGAAAGCCAGGAGCACATCCCACATTCTGAGAAACTTTCTCCACCTTCCTGATGCTGAGGGAAGGCATCCAAGGCAAAGCAGCTGGCACCATGAACAAACGTCACAGCTGGCTTTCGCGTGATATGCCAGGTGGCTTTAGCCCCTCCTTCGGGGGTGGTGCTCCGCCACTTGCCTCAGCCACAGCGCAAAGCCCGAGATGAATCACGATCTGCAAAACACATCACTTCCGTAGCTCGGTCTCTCGACCTCCTGAAAACTGGATCTCTGCGGATGCCGTCGGATGCTCCAGGCACCTGCAACACAACACGATTCCAATCAAACTTGCAGTAGATGATTAGAGGTGTATTGCCGCCGCTCCTCCTTCCAGGTGAGCTTGAGCTCCCTCTGGACCGACATCCCGCAGCAGCTGGCCAAGGCCCAGTCCAGGCATCACATCCCGCCAGCCCTCCCCGCGATCTTACTCGACACAAACGTGGAAAAAAGGACACCGCGGCTTTTTGTATTGGACCCTGTTCCCAAGTACCGAGAGACTCATGAACCTTGGCATGCTTGCCCAGGTTGCAGTAGTTTGGCCGTAGACACGGCTTGATCCTTCACGATCCTAGACTCGAGAAAACTTGCTGCAAGAGGGAACGATGCTTCGCAGCTCGATGCTTCTAGGACGGCTGCGCTGACATGTCCTTTGTGCAGCACCTTCCTTGGCCCGTTCGAATCCAAGTCGCGACAGTCTTGCAGTGGAAGATCCGAACCAGGCGAACCATTCCCACAAAACTACGGTAACTACCGGCTGCGGTGTGCAGGAGAGGCATAATCTGGCATAACTTGCTTTCAACTCCGGCGTGCCCGACTCCCATCTGCCTTGAGGGAATGGCCACAACGAAACGATTTACAAAGTATAAAAAAATGAACGCTGCTAGCCAAATGCCGTCTCGCAAGCGACCTAACGTTTCCAGCAAATTGTCTTTCCCGACATGAAAAGAGAGACACGACAGTGCAAAAGCTGAGTCTTGCCGAAGAAGGAGGCATAGGCCTTATGATGATGCTTAACCTTCGTGTGTGGTCCCTCACGGCACAACGGATTGCATGACAGTGGCTAGCCACAGTGGCCAGTCGTTGCACCCTTTGGGAGAACGTAGGCCCAGACATGCTCTGGTCAAAGGTGATCACTTGCCCGAGGGTCGTTCATCTTCCGACCCGCTGAAGCCGAATTGATGCCTTGCTTCGCAGGCTACTCATCAGAGACCTTAGCACAGTGCACAAAGTCCAAAACACACGGCAGAAGGCACTTACCCAAAACTGCGAAAGGCACCTCAGTTGTTGATGGCAGTCTGCTCGACAGTAGGTGGTCACGATGGCTGACCAGCCTCCAGCCTGCTCAGGTGTCGTTGATGTCAACAAGGGCTACTTGAACAAAGCTTTTGGTAGGTATGTAACAGGCAACAACAGGCCTCCGTTTTGAGCCTGTTCCTCTCAGCGCCGGCAAGAAGCATCATGGCCTGGTTGAGACATCCAGAGTCTGATCGTAGTTCTTGTCTGATACCCCAAGAAACCACAGCAGCGCAGCATTCTGCTTGATTAAGGGTAGGTTTGTGCCATGCGGGGTAGCTTCAGTGTGCCACTCTGTGGGTAACCCGGGGAGTCTAAGGGCCAGCCGAAGTCTGGCGACACACATGATGCATCGAGCAAGCCTGTCATGACCAGGCCATGCTTTGCTGATGGTCCTCAGTGTTGCTAGGACCTGTCTTTTCGATTACGAGGCTACCTTGGAACATGAGCAAAAGAAGATCTAATCCAGTGAACACCGAGGTGAAGATGGTACGCACTCCCCAACACAGATCCTGTCTTGTGCGCTCCGATCGATGACCACCGGTTGACACATTGCACCTGGGTACCAGGCCGTGCGCCAGTAACCGGCGCGGCATGCGCCGAGAGCTGCATCGAAGGACTGGCCGTCTAGCTCCACCATCGCCTGGCGGCTCGAGCGGCGAAACTGTCCGCAATATTTCGCAACGTCGAACGAAGAGCTCCTGATCTGGCCATGCATTATGAAACAGACGACCAGTCTCTGCTGGCTCACAGCCTCCGCGGCTTCATGCAGCAGCCTGCAAAAAAGCTACAGATGCCCAGAAAGCCCCAGGTGCCAACAGGCACCTGGACAGAAGTGCAGAGGGATCATTGTTCACACGTTCCGGGCCTCATTGCAGCATGCCACCAACCCCCAGCGTCCTTGAAAAGAGACAAGTCTCTTCTCACGGAATGATGACTGCAGGTAGGAAAGAGTCTGACAGAAGGAAGACGAGTACTACTGAGGGGTGGGTGCTTACTGAGATGATGGACTCTTCTGTTTGGACTTCTTCATACTTCTTCCAACAGGCTGCCAGGTCGCGCAAGCACGGAGGCCAAGGCTGACTGCCACTGCCTAGGATGCTTTCGTGGGGGATCCCCGAGTTTCAGAGGCCTGGCAAGCAAGGTGATGACACAACTGGAAAACAACCCAGGACAACCACATCCAACAGGCAGCGACAAAGCAAAGTAAGGCGACGCGTCCGACCCAGGGTCGAGAACGTTATTGCATTCGAAATCAAAAACTTACGTGTGCACAGTTTGCATCTCAGATAGAAGCTCGAGTCGGTGGTAAAGAGCTACCGCCTTCCAGAACAAAACCCTACAGAACATGTCTCTCAGAGCGAAACGCCACCCAGCCGAGGCAGTTGCATTGGGCTGCACGTCGGCCACGCAGGCACCAAATACCGACAACACCTGCCCCATGCTGCTGAGAGGTTTAAGGTTCTTCAGGAATTGCAAGAGCACTGCCGTCAAGCATCATCGTCGCTTCGCCAGCATGCTGCTTGACAGGGCAAAAGGGGAGAATGACAGCCGGGCATGGCCTTCCGGGGCTGCTCACAACGATCGCATGCCGTCATAACCTGATCCGTCAGAGAGAAAGCACAGAGATGGCGTTGACAGGCCCCAAGTACCACTAGTGTCCAAGAAGATGTCTACGCAAAACAGGAGAACTCGGGAGCGGCGCTGCACAGTAGGTGGTGACAGTTGGACGGATGTTCTGCGAAAAGAAGCGCTGGAGAAGCCTGAAAGGCTGGTCAAGCTCGCCTTTCAGCAACGCAACTGCCGTGACCTTGCATTGACTTCACCAAGCTGCGCAATTGCGGCGGCCCACTCGGAACGGCAGGCCTGGGCTGACCGAATTTCTAGGTAGAAATGGTCCTGTCATCAGCCTCACCCAGCTGGCAAAGCAGCCAAGCCCAGTACAGAGATCGCAGAATTCAACATCACGTCGTCCGGCTCAATTTCGGATGCGGCCGCCTGCAGAACATATACCAGTAAAACATGTACGAAGGATCCTTGTTCGACTGACTACACAGCTCACGAGTCTTCTCATCCAATGGTCTTTCTCAGCCCCAACTTTGGGCATTGGACGTCATGGCATGCTCGACATCCTTCGGAGCGATCTACGATCCAAGAAGGATCGAGATGATAAGACATGCTGAACTGCCTCCTCAAGCAGGCAGAATGCCTCAAGCCAGCAACCTCCTGCAGCTTCTGGGCTGAATTCGCCGGACTCATCCACTTCTTCCACAAGTCCTCGCCCGCACGCGGAAATGGCTGCTCCTGCTCACCGTTCTTGTCACACATGGAAACCTGCTGGCCTGTTCCAGGAGGTTAAGGATCCCACCGTAGGTGAAAGCGTTCGACAGCTTCGCCGTCTGCAGCTCGAAGAACAAAGACAGTGCCCTACAACGCAGCTTTATCAGTAGAGTTGTAGAGATGGAAGCATGCGTACTCATCCGCAATAGTCATGCTTGCACCATGCTGCGCTGCCTTTCCCACTCGTCAGAAGCACCGCAAGCAGCCAACGTGCTGCTAGCCATCTTCAAGTCTGCCGAGAAGCGCCTCACATGCCCGGCATTCCTTCCGCGGTTTCTTCGGCGATCCGAAACCGAGACCGATGTGACGTCGACCGCCCGACCTAGTCAGCATCGACGCAAGCAGTAAAGTGTTGCGCCAAGCACTCGCCCTGCTGCAGGCACTGGTCACCTGTCAGAGCTGAGCAAATCGCAGAGCCGTGATTCTTCAAATTCTCGAGAGCAAGGCAGCATTGAAGTTCATTGTGCTTGTCTCCAGGGCAGCCTCCTGGTCACAACTGCTTGTACGTGACAACATTGGTAACAAGTAGCTGCTCGGCCACCACATAGATGGCCTTTACGGAGAAGAGGAGGTGCACCGCGACTCGCCATTCCTTGAAGTCAAGTACCAACATGAGCCCATCAATTCCAGAGAGACGCCTGAGCTTTAGTGCGATGCAGGCCTGAAGTTCTGGCTTCGGCGACTTCTTTCAGCAAAGCTTCACAGGCATAGAGGAGGCTGGCGCAAGTAACTGGCGTCAATTGAACCTTCAGCGCTGTAGGCAGCTGCATCCCCATCCTGCGGCTGCCAGGAGGGAACGATGGCAAGGCAGTGCAGAGCATTGCAGCACGTGGCGGCTCCTCCAGCGACTGCACGTCAGCAGCTCGTTCAAGGAGAAAGCATCCGCCTCGATGTCAGAGCTCTGGAGTCGAGCTGCCACGTCGTGCCTCAAAACCGACAGGCTACCCGGGAGAAATGTGGAGAATCGTGGAGAGTCGCAATATGCAAACGCAATATGCAATAAGAGGCCTTAATTGCTTGCTGCACCAAAGATCTCTTCTGGACGAGTGGCGCTTTCTGCCAAAGCATAGCCTCGGTGCACTGCACTAAAATCTTCAAACGATTGGGCACAGTAACGGATTGTATGACGTGGTTACACGTATGCAACTGTCTATTTGTCTACCTATCTACCTATGCAACGGTCTATTTGTCTACTTATCTACTTATCTACCTATC